TGGATTCCGACGAGATCTCGCTATCATCTCTGGCACTGAAAACTCGAGATCGATTCCTCGTTTCCCTTCTTTCTTCAAGTAATCCAGTAGCGAGTTGCATTTCGCATCCAATCGATCAAAACTCTTCTCCATTTGACCCGTCATATTCCCAATAATGCAATATTTTGTCTTTCCAAACTTGAATGTGCGTCTATGCTGCTTGATTGCTGTCGTCTCTCTCTGTTTATCCTTGTTTTTGTACTTGAATTTCCACGACTTCAAAGATCTTAGGTGCTTAGTGCGTTGCTTCAATCTGTTTCCTCTCTGAGACATTTTAACAAACATCTGGCATGCACTGTACTTGCCTTGAACACATCCAAGACTTGACTGATTATGAGCGTGATTGTTCTCCCCAAGTGAAGATGGCAAATCCGCATAAAAGTCCAGTGATGCAATGCAACTTCTACGGCCAGATTCCAAGTCAGAAATTGTTACCTGAAGCATTGGAATCGCTATCTGCTGATGAACAAATGCAAACTCCATATTTGAATCTGTGGACGAACAAGAGTCCTTTGCTTCTGGAATCGTTTCTGTTTCTTCTGGCAATTCCTCCTCCTCCATCAATTCTCTGGTCATAAGCGATACCTCCCGATGAACAACATCAACCTCCAAGATTGAATCCGTTTCCGTCCACTGCTTCTCCGGAATCACATGCTTCTCCATAGATTTCGATTTAATCCCTGCACTTGCCTGGATCGATTCGCTTGCCTCAATCGCTTCTGTTTCCCGCGAAATAGATCCATGTTGCTTAATCGAATCCCTGAATTCTTGCAAAAATCGTTTGCGCTCAATATGGAAATGTATTTTCTCAGGATCATCATCGTTTGCAAATCTAAGCAACAAAAGTTTCCTCAATCGTTCCCAGCTTTGGAAAGGAAACCGCGATTGGATCTTGTGAAACCATTCTTGAGCTTGACCTTCCATAAAGCTTTGTGCAGCATTCAGTTTCTCGTCATCGGAGAACTGATATTCCATGTGAAAGATCCATGGCTTCGGATCACCATTGTTGAAGGTCGGAAACTATAACAAAATTCTGAGAATCACAAGTCGATTGCTTCATCATCTTCCTCTGAAACGTGCGATTGTTCGATCCTAACGTCACGACGCACCAATTTGATAAGAACCAACACGAATCTTTATTGATCAAAGAGGAAATACAGAGCCAATTGCCTCGAGCTTACGCTGAATCTGGACACTCCCAAAAGACTCAGGTAAAACTCTATTAGACTCAGAAGGTTTACTTACATACACAACCTTCATAACAACCACTAATTCACTCGCAACAAGACTCTAAACCGACTTAAGCTTCCTCATGAGACACGTCAGATGCCTTCTCTTCTCCAGAATCAGTCTTCAAATGAGTCCTCTTCCTTTTATGCGTAAAAGCCCTCCAAGATTGGACCTACCAGAGATCACATTATTTTTCCTTTATGTCTTTCTGTACATGGCAATGGGTTCGTACCACTTGATGTGTGTCTTGTCTCAGTTTCTGAAGATGTTGTGAGTCTTTTATGGAAAAGTCTTCTGAAGTTATATAGACTGAGATTGTACATTGCCCGTTTTTACAAATACCTCACAACAGCAAAAATGTATCCTGCATCACGTGTGAGCGGTGAGACTCAGGGATCCCAGTGAGCATTTGGCAGACTCGAAGCAATTTACTTGGCGGAGAAGAGACTAAACCCCGTCGACCCATCTCTGCTTAGGAACTCTGCTCTTGCACTTGAACTCCAAAAGACCTTGTCCGGTTTTCAGGCCGAAGTAGACTTCTTCTGAATTTTCCCTCTCTTTCCTCTAAGGCCAAGCTGATTTCTCATCGCAGACTCCGTAGATGACGCCTGGAAAGAGGAACAATAGGTTCAGAATGCCCGTCTTTCAGGTAATATATATAGAGTGAATGATTAGGAAATGCTTACATTTTATCTTATTGGAGAATGCCCCTCCGACATGTTTGCTTTTGAGTTTGATCATTACCTGCAATTTCATGAGTAGTTTAATAAGCATGGGATCAGAAGCAAACGAAAATGTGTGGGTTGCAGATGCTAATCAAGTCACCTGAGATTTCTTGTTGATATAGACAAAGGCACGCTTAGTTCGCTGCACTCCTGCAATTTCAAGCTCAAGAAAGAAGAGTTAAGCTCTCTGTCTAATTGCAGTGAACTCTTCAATTGATCAAAGTCACACAGACAGAAAAGGATTACCATTTCGGGAGCATTGCAGCAGTTCGCCTATAAATGGAAGATTTGGCTCTTCCAATCTAAACTGAAAGTTTGCATGCCAGTGAGTGTCAGAGAAGCTTCTCTCGAATGGTGTAATGGCTGCGTTCTTCCTTGCTTCCTTAGGCTGCCTCGCCTACAGAGCCGCTTCTCCTCTCAAAGCTAGTTCCAGTTTAAAGGAAATCAGATCAAATATACACCCACGAACCCACAAAAAAAAAGCCTTTTGAAGGTACAACAAATCCCAGGCTAGTTTCGAACAATACAGCGTTGCCCGTTGCAGCAGCGGCTGTTAGAGTCATGAGATCACCGGGGCTGTGGATATCCACAGATGACCTAACCGGCTTGCTCAGCCATCTCGACACAATGTGAGGCCAACAGTTCAGTGGCTGGGGCTAAAGCCAGAGCCATCTTGGAGCCTGGCCCTTGGCAGTTGCTTGCAGAGGTCACAGAGGCCAAACTTGTAGCCAGAGCCGCTATAGAGACAGGCAGAATGCAGGTGAGCATTCTCAACACGTGCCTTGTCTTTCTTCTTGAGACCGA